GAAGTTTTCTGCCAACAAATCTTCAACAATTTTTTCTGTATTTTCTGTTATCCCTTCCTGTTCTCGTACTCTAATCACTTGTAGGTTATTCCTCTTGATAGAGTCCCACATAATTCTTAGAGTTTCTTCATTTTTTAAACCCTTTTATTTGATTTTTCCTCAAATAATTTGGTGTCAAGTGCTTTATCATCAGTCTCACTAATTCTGACTTCTATTGCCTCAATTCTGCTCCTATGACTTTCTATTGAGTTGTCTAAATTCTGAAATTTTATTGTTAATCTTCTGGATTTGTGATTGCTGTCTCTCTATGGATTCTTGCAGCCTGTTAAATTTGTCATTGTGCTCTTTTCTAATCTTCTAAAGTTCCTCTGTTGCTTTGTCTGTATGTTCCTTGGCTAGTTCCGCATTTTGCCTTATCTTCTTCCTGATTTCTTGAGTTCTGTATATTAGTCTTTTGTATTCTACCTCTGGTAATTCCAAGAAATTCTCTTCCTCCAGAAAATTTCTTGATTCTTTATTTTGGGAGCTTGCTGAAGCCATCATGGTCTGCTCCTTTATGTGATTTGATATTGACTGTTGTCTCTGAGCCATCAATAAGTTATTATGTTGATTTATTTTACGTTTTCTTACTGTGTCCTAGCTTCTTGTTTTGTTTTGTTTTGATATGCCCAGATAGGCTGCTTGTGTGAGCTAGTTAGATTATTGTTGCCTTTGAAATTCTGATGTCCTGTCACCAGGTGGCTAGAGCTGTTACTAGTTATGTGAGCCCAGGAGTCTGTTTACTTTTCTTGCATGGATTCAGCTCAGGTGTCCAGGTAGTTGGTCACCAAGTGTGTGGTTCAGGCTCTCACCTACAGTCCTAGACAGGCAGGGGTGATTGGTGTAGGCTCAGGTATCTGGCTGCAGTAGGAGGTCATGTGCTGAGCAAAGCAGGGGGCTGATAGCTGCCTGAGTGTCTGGGAGGAAAGTGTGTCCCTGTTCCCTAGAGCACGTAGGTGGGTGGGTTTTGCAGCTGGACTATGAGAATTCAGTGCTGTTGGGGGGTGCCACTTATTCTTGGATTCCTCACGCAGGTGGCTAGGTGGTGTGAGTGGAGCCACCAGTCGTCAGGCCTCTGATGTGGGTAGGTGAAGACCCTGCTTAATGGGCAGAGCAGAGACAAAGGTCACGAACCTGTCACTTTACAGCTGAAACAGTCAAAGTTAGACTTCAGGTATATACC